TTGGGACCGAGGCGAGGGACTCGAGCCCTTGGGACCGAGGCGAGGGAGGTGAAACGTTGCCAACATTTGACAACTGATTGCCCATAATCGCCTCTAGCTGCCAGAGTTGGCCAACGTTCTGCCAGCTGCTCACAGTCCGGTGATTCGGAGCCAACTGATGTGTTTTGTGGTGTTCCTCAGAGCGCGGCTACCCCTGGACCGTCTGCGAGGCGTTCCAGTTCATCCTGAAGAACCAGGCCGACGCTCTGCTCGGACTGGGCCTCGGTCCTCGCTTCAAGGTCCGGTTTAATGTCTCTCACGGATCCTCCAAAAGCCGGAGCGGTCTGACGTGTTTTTCTCGTTCCAGGACCCGGTTCTGTGTGGGCTGTGGAGACTCTACCTGCAGAGGAGCCAGCAGGCGTACTGCCAGAACCTGCGGACCAGTTTAGAGTTCGGGCTGGTGGGTTGTTGTCTTTTAAAAACAACATCAAACGAGCTTCACTGATAAGCTCCTCCCCCCTCAGAGAGGCGTGGAGTCGGACCTGGACAGCGCAGCCGAGTCCTCCAGCGTGCTGTCAATGGACGGCGAGTCGAACCTGTCCAGCACCGCCGGTTCTGAAGCAGGTACGTGAGGAACATCAACGTTCTGCTGCGGAGAGCTTTGGGTTCTTGAAGCTTGAATCGTTCCTTCAACCCTCAGAGAGCGGCCCGGCGGACCGCCTCAACCGGTCCAGGCGGTACCGCGGCCGGATGAGCATGAAGAAGACTCTGGCTCTGATCCACCTGGCGCTGGCGTGGAGCGGCGAGGCGCTGACACTCAGCGACCTGCTCAGGTAACACCTGGAGGCGGAGCAGAACAAACATGACCCGGTCCGACTGGAAACAGGGTTTTAGCTCCAACGAGCCGTTCCCCTCAGCTGAAATTGTAAATGGAGACAAATACGAATAAAGTTTGTTTGAATGTTTCAGGCTGGTGAAGGGCGGCTTCGTCCCGTACGTGAACGCCTACGAACAACTTCCTGACGAGATGAAGCTGTTTGGAAAAGCAGCGCTGATCTTCAGCACCGAGGTTAGAATTCTGCGGGACAGAACCCGAGCCGCCGCCAAACGGTACCGAGGGGGCGGGGCAACAACAAACAGCGGCGGTGTAAGAGCGACAGAAACAGGAAGCTGTCCTAACGCTAAATATGAGCTAAAGCACAAGCTAAAAGTGAAACAAAAGACTAGACAAAAAGAACAAGCTGAAAGGAGACACTAGCTAAATGTAGCTAAAGATAGCTAAAAGCTATATGTGGCAAAAGTAGCTAAAGGTAGCAAAAGGTTAGCTAGATGTAAAGAAAGCTTAGCTAATAGCTAAACGTAGCAAAAGTCTAGCTAAAAGCTACATGTAGCAAAAGGCTAGGTAAATGCTATGAGGCTAGCTAGAAGTTAAAAATATCAAAAGGCAAGTTAGAAGTAGCTTAAAAAGAACTGATGAGAACATTTACCATTAATAGAAAACTCTCAGCGCCGCCTGAACGAGCCGAACGTTTCGATTCATGATCGGCTAAAATCCACTCCACCTAATTATTTCAATTTTCATGTCCCTCGAACAACTGGTCGAGGTGGAGCTTCTATTTTTCAGTCGGGACTTTTAACTAATACTAAACCAGTTAGTAGCTGTAAATCTTTTGAGTCACTGTCTCTGAATCTGTCCCATCCTAAAAGGAACACGGAGCGGCCACTCACTAGTTGTTATACAGTGCCTTGATAACAAGATAACTTTTATTTATATATATATATATATATATATATATATATATATATATATATATATATATACAGTGCCTTGTGAAAGTATTCGGCCCCCTTGAACTTTTCAACCTTTTGCCACATTTCAGGCTTCAAACATAAAGATATAAATTTTAATTTTTTGTGAAGAATCAACAACAAGTGGGACACAATTTTGAAGTGGAATGAAATTTATTGGATGTGTCGAACTTTATTAACAAATAAAAACTGAAAAGTGGGGCGTGCAGTATTATTGGGCCCCTTTACTTTCAGAGCAGCAAACTCAGTCCAGAAGTTCAGTGAGGATCTATGAATGATCCAATGTTGTCCCAAATGACTGATGATGATCAATAGAATCCACCTGTGTGTAATCAAGTCTCCGTATAAATGCACCTGCTCTGTGAGAGTCTCAGGGTTCTGTTCAAAGAGAGCATCATGAAGACCAAGGAACACACCAGGTAGGTCCGAGATACTGTTGTGGAGAAGTTTAAAGCCGGATTTGGATACAAAAAGATTTCCCAAGCTTTAAACATCCCAAGGAGCACTGTGCAAGCAATCATATTGAAATGGAAGGAGTATCAGACCACTGCAAATCTACCAAGACCCGGCCGTCCCTCTAAACTTTCATCTGGAACAAGGAGAAGACTGATCAGAGATGCAGCCAAGAGGCCCATGATCACTCTGGATGAACTGCAGAGATCTACAGCTGAGGTGGGAGAGTCTGTCCATAGGACAACAATCAGTCGTACACTGCACAAATCTGGCCTTTATGGAAGAGTGGCAAGAAGAAAGACGTTTCTCAAAGATATCCATAAAAAGTGTTTAAAGTTTGTCACAAGCACCTGGGAGACACCAAACATGTGGAAGAAGGTGCTCTGGTCACATGAAACCAAAATCAAACTGTTTGGACACAATGCAACACAGCTCATCACCCTGAACACACCATCCCCACTGTCAAACATGGTGGTGGCAGCATCATGGTTTGGGCCTGCTTTTCATCAGCATGGACAGGGAAGATGGTCAGAATTGATGGAAGATGGATGGAGCCAAATACAGGACCATTCTGGAAGAAAACCAGTTTGAGTCTGCAAGAGACCTGAGACTGGGACGGAGATTTATCTTCCAACAAGACAATGATCCAAAACATAAAGACAAATCTACAATGGAATGGTTCACAAAGAAACGTATCCAGGTGTTGGAATGGCCAAGTCAAAGTCCAGACCTGAATCCAATCCAGAATCTGTGGAAAGAGCTGAAGACTGCTGTTCACAAACGCTCTCCATCCAACCTCACTGAGCTCCAGCTGTTCTGCAGGAAGAATGGGCAGAACTTCAGTGTCTCCATGTTCAAAACTGACAGAGACAAACAGAAGATGCTTCAGCGAAACGTCTTCTGTTGAAAATAAAGTCCAGTTGTTTTTGTTTTGAACTTTTTTGAAAGAACTTTATATTATTCATCTGTAATTGATGAGAATAAAAATAACCAGAGGTTCCTGTTCAGCACCATAACTAGTCTAATGAAAAATTCTGTCTGTTGATTCATGTATCTCTACAACTATGAGCAGTGATGACTTCATGAGATTCTTTAGAAATAAAATTATTTCAATTAAAGAAAAAAATTCAAACCATCCTTCCTACTATCGCCTCTGGTTCTGTGTCAGATGAGACAACTTTAAAAATTTCACTAGAGCCTGATTTATGTCTGGACTGTTTTTGTCCTGTTGAGCTCTGAATTGTCAAAAATAATATCATCATCCAAACCATCACATGCCTGCTAGATCCCATCCCAACCAGAATGTTTAAAGACGTAATTCCCTCAATTAATAACCACGTCTTGGATCTGCTTAATTTGTCTCTAATAAATGGTTACGTACCACAGAGCTTTAAGGTTGTTGTAATTAAACCTTTACTTAAGAAACAACATAACCTTGGCTCAGGAATCCTAGACAATTATAGATCTATATCTAATCTAACTTTCATCTAAAACATCGTCTTGTTCTGCTGCTATAGACTTAGACTACTAGAGCACAAACTGACCTCATTTCCTTAAATGAATTGTTAAAATTGAATAGTTTTCATTTGATACTATTTCTATCTTGACATGTGATTCTTGACCTGCCATTGTGTATCTATTCCTACCAAACCCAGCCGGTCGAAGCAGATGGTCCTCTGGTCCTGATCCTGGTTCTGCTAAAGGTTTCTTCCTCATGAGGGAGTTTTTTTTTACACTGTCGCCTTCATGCTTGTTCAACATGAGAGTTCAGTGATGGAGTTAAACTCAAAGCTGCTCCTCAGATAAATAATGTTCAATTATTATTTTATACATGAATGTTTCTGTTAATTATTATTTTATACATGAATGTTTCTGTTCAATTATTATTTTATACATGAATGTTTGTGTTAAATTATTATTTTATACATGAATGTTTCTGTTCAATTATTATTTTATACATGAATGTTTCTGTTCAATTATTATTTTATA